TTGACTTACAATGCCTGTTTTGTCAGGAAGAAAATGTGTGCAAAATACGATTTAACACATTTATTTTACCATATTGGACGTCTTGTAGAGCTACCTCCACCTTCATTAGGCAACAAAAGCGTGTCTACACACAGACATGCATTTTCCAGAATAGTCATAAAATAGAAAGATATGAAAATGCGCAAACCTTGCCTCGAAATAAAGCCGTACCCTAGCAGTTTTATCACGCCAAACCGATAGCATCGATAAACCAACCGGAGATAAGGTAATGCATATTTGATAAATGTTCAACGTTTACACCGTAATATTCAAACACCTTTATGGGGTTTCTCTGACTTTCGCCCTAATAACTTCGAAGTGTAATAAGAATATAATTAACTAAGATAATTAACCAAGCTATTTCCGTAGCAATTAGGTTTCATGGATTTGACGATGAGCATTGTACACTAACTACTTACTATTGCTCTATTTTTGAATGATTCATAAAACACATTCACCGTTTTGTATTACAATTTACTGTTAATCATCATTAAAATTGTTTACGTCCTACCTAATATTACAATAGGAAAACTTTATCGGGAAAGCTTAGCAAATATGGCACCTACTTATGACGGTATTGCCGTTCCATTATCGTAATCAGGTGCACTAAGATGCAGACAATGCAGCTCCGATTAGGGAGTATCTTATGAAGATAATTCAGGATCCTTGCATACATTATTTATTTTTCGACTTATTCAAGGATTAAGAACTCTACTTTAAAAATTTAATATAATGATCTCCAAAATAGGTCCTTTAAATGCTAAATGTAGTAAGTAAATACAATACTTTAATGTGACTTAACTATGTCATAAAAGCAATGGAATACCTCTGAAGCTCAAAAAGGAACATCAACCTTCACTTAATCAGTTTTAAGTAACGAACACACGTCCACGTCGGTACATTAGGAAACCTCACCTCTACCTAAACCGATAAAAATGTTACTGCGTAGGGCAATGTAATGGCAAATGTACAATGAACCATCGTGCATTATCTAACCGAGGTGTGACCTTAGCAATGTCGATAAGCAAATCAGACGGTTGCGTTTAGCTGAGATAGACTTGTTGATAACTTCGAGTGTATGAGATGCATTCTTCCGGCACCACAACTACGACTAGCTACCTACTAAACATGACCCCGCTATGTAGTTTCACGTATTGCAGGTACTTGAAATAAATGGTGGAACAGTTAACATGCGACTGGTTCTGTTTCAACTCAATATACCTTCAACTGCAGAATCTAGAGAGACTTTAGACTGCTTGTAATGGTTATTTTAGTACGAACTATTTATGTGTATCTGTAATCATAATGCATGGTGTACTCGTTATCTTTGTACTTGTTCTTCTTTCTTTCTAAAAAAACAGGCCGATAAGATGAGTGTCTACTTTTAAACTTTTATCAACTCGCTTTGTCTTTCTTTTTAACTTTTTTACCTTTTGTATTGCATTACACGGACCTGAGGTGTAAATCACACCTTAAACCGTTCTCATAATATCTCAAGCTGCAATTTTCACTGCCCGTTTAGATAAGTTCGGTCCGGCTTATCGACTAACAGTCCGATAGAACAATACGGTTCTTACCTGCTTTCGTTTTTTTTTTTACTTCAATATAGACTAAAATTATGTACAAATGTGTATTTTGCATCTATGTAAGAAACGATGATAACATATTCTGGATTTTTATTTGTCTGTGATCGATCGTGATCTGATATTTACGCCTTAGAAAATTGCAGTTAAAAGGGCTTAGAGGATGGAAAATAATAAAGTAAAAAGGGTTAACGCCGGGGCGTCAGACCGGGGTCTGTCAAGGTTATATACACCAAGGTAAGTTAATGCCATCGATACAGATGTTAAAAAAAATTCTAACATCATAACCGCAAACATTGAACGACAAATGACATAAGATGACCACCAATGATGAGACAGACCTCAGCACCAAATAATATACCGTGAATTACTAAGAAGAATCTTAGTTCCAAAAATCAATAGCATGCTTATTGTTTTAAAACTTTTTTTTTAATACTAAGTGACGGTACGAAGAAGTCGTGTGCGTGTGGTGGTAAGCGACACCCCTGTCCCTGACAGATGCAATGCCACTCAGAACTTTAAATCACAAAAATCTGACGGGCACTGCCGCTGCGCCCGACAACCTGAGACATAAGTTGACAAGACCTATGTGCCTGTAATTTCACCAGCACCCTGATCATTTGCTTGGCGACAGAAATAGGTAAGGTGGCAGTACTTCCCTGGATAAACTATTTCACAAGGAGCTCTACTGCTACTTGACTTACATTCGTTTACCCGAATGCAGTGAGATTTACTACGAGCGGAAATTATTACCTTAAAACCAAAACTTGCAACACTTATTGAAACACAACTGACACCTATATGTGTAAGTGATACTTTTCTTCCGATTATACTATATTTAACCCGGACAAAGCAAAGGGAGATAGTGGAAGAGTTTCCCTTCATTTGGCGATTAATCATTTTGTTAGACTATTTTTCATTAAAAAAAGTTCAACGTGTTCAACACAGATGTTCTCTTTAATACTATTGTGCTAGTGATGGTAAGCAAAAAAACCCAAAGTTACACGGCTACAGTTGGCGTAATAGACTTAACCAGTAATGTGTAAAAGAAATCACTTTAAGTCGAAATAAAGTCTTTAGTGTAAGGTTGAGATTCGAAACTTTTTTCAAATAGATCTCTACTAGAAGTGACAACTCTCGTGTTGTCTACTGTGTAGATTATAGAAACCAACCATTCTTTTTTTTCCATCCTCTAAGTCAGGGTTTCTTAACCTGTGGTGCATGGACCACTAAGGAGTCCGTGTAATGAACGCTGGGGGTCCACGGCGAACCTACCTAACATAACAAATGCAATATATAAAAATTGATATACAATATGTGGTTAAATAGATACTGTGCGCATGACCTTTTTGAATTTTCACACCCGAGGGCTGAGCTAGCAATATGCGCGTCAATGCATCTGGCGAGCTATTCTTCTTCTTCATCTATTTGAAAAAGGTCCGTGGGCTCTTTGAAATTTTGAGACAGGCCCATGACTAGAAAAAGGTTACGCACCCTGCTCTAAGTGTAGAACAGTACATCCGAGTCAATAGATCTATCAGTAAACTTTTCTAAAAACTAACAAATCCGGATTTGATACTTACCTTTTCCAAAGTCACTATTACATTACATAAAACCTTAGCATAAAACACTCTTTTATTCTAACGTATGAATTATTGTTTTTATTTATTATTTTTTATCTGTAAAGAAAATTGTAATTATAAACAGTAATGGAATAATTACTTTTTACAGCTACATTCTTGTACTTGTATAGGTTGCTGTGTTAGTCAAAATGTTTGGTGTATCTACCTTTAAACTTTGTAAACGTAACGTATAATTGCTATTGTAGTGTGCTGGTGAAATTACAATTGTGTACAATTGTGTCTCAGGGTGACGGGCGCAGTGGCAGTGCCCCTCAGGCCATTGTGATTTAAAGCTCTCAGTGGCTCTGACACTGCTATGGATAGGCGTGTCGCTTACCACCAGGCGCACGACTTGTTCGTCCCGTCACGTGTTTTCAAAAAAAAAAAAAGAATAAAAAGTATGCATCATGTTGGCTTGCCTATACAAGAAATAAATAAAGATACTATATAAATGGACACATTACACACATTAGCTTTAAGCGACTAATGGATCTAATAGTAACGTTGTCTTATACTTTATCAGTATTGTATTGTTAATAACACTGTATACACGGATATTTTCCTTGTACAAGAAAAGTTCAGTATATACAATGTAGTTTCAAAAATTATTGCGTGCAATTAATCATTAGAATAAAAACAAAAAAAAAATAATGCGATACCAAAACTGCCTTGGTAAGCTACGCAAAAAATGCCAACTTAAACACCGACAATGCCGTCGGCACGATATGCCCTAAAATAGAGTAGGAACCTTGTACCCGCTAGCTGGATCAATAGAGCCTTGATTCGAGGCCCTTGAACTTTCCCAGCCTTAAATACTCAGCAATGAACTTCGTCGAACTACGACCGAGTGTTTTTAGACTTTACGTCTGTATTGACTATCGAATTGTTTATAGACCAAGCTAAGAACAATGTTAGTGTTACGTTTCTTGTTGTTGTTTACGATATGTTTACGTTAAGAATAAAATTGCATTATTGTCTGTTATTTGAGTGTTTTGAACTTTTGATGTAAATTGTAAAATGTACTGAGGCTACGAATCCTATAGCAACCGTACCAAAACACCGATGGTTATTTGTTTTTTCTTTTGTTTTTTTTTTGTATTTACACCACATGAATAAGCTTAGGAAACTTTGGGAAATGTATTAATTGGATATTAATTTTATTTACGTTGTTAAAAATACCAAGAAAATTTATAGCAATTATGCACGATGTAAATACGAGTATCTACCTAACAACTATCAATTCTGTGCGCCACTCGTGTCATATCTCCCAACGGGTATGATAACTCAAGGATCGATTGCTTATCAACTCGAAATATTTGATAATAGACAAAGTCCACTTACATTGGTTTCTCGTGTTAAACGTACAGGACTTGATACATTAACAAAATTTACATTGCCCTCTATCTGTAAAAACCAATTAATATTAGATTTATCTCGATTCTATATCCAACTACCTCTTAAGATTAGCAATTTCCCAATTCATTCTGTAACTTTTTTCTGAAAACCCACCGTGTACGAACTCAAATTTAAATTGCAGTGCAGGCCCAGTTAGGAGTACCTACTTATTCATGCATAAATTCAACGCACGCCACAGTACAAATTCCTTACACTTATTTACATTTAATGCATGTAGCTTACTAGTAACAAGTTTACATTTATCTTATTTGACAAGCAGCGCACATGAAGGCGAAAGTACGGCGTGCACGTTACGTGGTTAGCAAATGTCACTGATGCACCCGGAAAAGCGTGGGCTCACCTGTGTTGGGATCGCAGTCTCCCGGCCTAGGGGTATCGACATTTTGCTCTAGCGGCGCTGCCGGCCGCGCCCCGGCGCCCGCCCGCGCCGCACCATCCACCACCGCCGCACACGGGCTGCCGCTGATCCCGGCGCCCGCACTCACTACCCACCCTCGGCCGTCGAGCGTACACCGCGCGCCGACACACGCTACGGAGAAAAACACTTTCCCCCAAACGCGAATTTTCACGACTTTACTTGACCCCGGCACGGCTCCGTAGCCAGCTGTGCTCTCCACTCGTCACCTTACAGTAATCCTCATTGAGAACTGAGCAGTCACCGCTACAAAACAATAAGAAAATCCAATATCTCTGATAGTCCAGTTTGTATGTGAAACGACGATTATGTGGTAGCGACACTAAACTGACAACCGCCTCGACAGGCGCGAGCGCGCGACTGCCGAGTGGCGCGCCTCGGAAGCCGCCGCGCGCAAGGCGCACGCTACCCCTCGCTCGCCACCACCCGCCGCGACTCTGCCCACTCCGTGCCTCTGCACTTCGGCTCGGGGTCGCGTTCGCACAACACAGCCTCCTTCGTCTCCACGAGGCCGGCGACTTGAGCCCGCGGCTCACGGTTGATCGCATGGACACGTGTGTCAAGCACGGGCGTAATGCGGTATCGAGCGCGAGTACACATGCGCACTGCTCACCACTATTGCAATCGTGGCTCATTCATTTGAACTGTCTCGACTGGCACAATATGCACCTGAGCAAATATTATGGAACTCAATGACACAGATGCGTTCATTTTTAAATTACTTCGTGTGTTTCGCCGGTTATGTCACTAAACCTTCTCACTTGTTAAACTACCTACTCTTTATAATGCTCTCATTCTCTCATCTGTTTATAACAGCTTTCGTTGACTCTCTGAGACATCCACAAATGTTTGTTCGTAACTAAGTGCACACACCAGAGAATACACACCATCGTTTAAATAGTAATTTATAGTGATAAGAAATGATTCAAACATTAAGTATAATAAAATTAGAAAATAATTATGGTCGAGACAACTTAACAGAGCTTTAACACCTCAGATATAATTTAAACTCTACTAATTCTACAAAATTAGCTTAATAATGCACGATCCAAAACCAATTAGTGTTAACTATACTAATAGCAGGAACTTAAATTATATCTATCGTACGTACATAAGTATGTTGTATAGAAAGAAACATCTAGTAACGTTAGCGTCTTCCTTCTAGAACTAAGCTGAACTAGTGATTAAATAGGCATTCGCTTGTCAGCCATAGGAGCAAATGGCAGTCGCCTGTCGTCCTTTAAAAAAGAAGATATAATAGGGGTTAAAGTATGAAATTGCCGATTTGTACTGAAAATCTAAATTGTTTATTTTTTAAATTTTTAACAAATTTATTTAATCAAAATAGTTGCCATTATTATCTATACATTGCTGCCATCTGGATCAATGGGAAGGTTATTAATGCCTTTGCGATAGAACTCCGACGATCTAGACTGCACAAACTGTGTGAAAGCATTTTGTACTGCCTCCTGGGAAGAAAACTTCTTGTCACGTAGATAATTGTCCAAATCACGAAAAAAATGGTAGTCCGTTGGAGCAAGGTCTGGTGAATACGGAGGATGACGAATGGTTTCTAACTGCAGTTCCTGAAGGGTCAAAATGGTTTCTCGTGCTGTGTGAGGTCTCGCGTTGTCGTGGAGCAATAATGGTGAAGATCGATTCATGAGTCGGGGCTGTTTTACTGCTAGTTTTGTCAACATGGTTCGGAGTTCGGCACAATAGACATCTGCCGTTATTGCTTGACCAGATCGGAGAAAACTATAGTGAATAACACCATGCTGAGACCACCAAACAGTTACCATTACCTTTTTATTGGTAAGTTTTGCTTTAGGACACTGTTGTGGCATTTGACCTGGGGTCAGCCATTGCATTTTTCTTTTCCGGTTATCATAAAGAATCCACTTTTCATCACATGTTACAATTCGATCCAATATTCCTTCATTTCTGTACCGGTTCAACAAGGCAACACAAGTTTCAACACGTGTTTCTTTCTGCAGATCAGTCAAATCATGAGGCACCCATTATTCGTATTTTTTTATTTTATTGATTTGACGCAAGTGAGTCAATATTGTGGGTAAGGTAACGTTAAACCATGCCGCTAATTCCTGGGTAGTTTGACTAGGATCGGCTTCCACTATCTCTCTTAATTCATCGTTATTCACCTGTGTGGGCGGTCTTCCTCGTGGCTCGCTCTTTAAGTCGAAATTTCCATCACGAAAGCGTTTAAACCAAAATCGCACGGTGCGTTCATTAGTAGACCCCTCTCCAAACGCAGCATTGATATTGCGGGCTGTTTCTGCCGCGTTAGTTCCGCGTCGGAACTCGTATTCAAAAATCACTCGAATTTTCGCAGTATCCATCTTTCTTGTCTAAATTGAATAACAAAAACAATTGAAAGTCGATATTCAAATGTTTCAAATTTAAAAAAAAAAAATCACAGAATCCATTTGAAAAAAGTTTCATTCGAAAACCTCAAACCATGAAGATTCTATGAAAATTCAAAGAACCTATTGCAATAAAACGGCAATTTCACACTTTAACCCCTAATATTTATGTATGTATATAAGATATACTTATTATCTAGATTCTTGTTATAGGGGTAAGTCCCCCACTTAAACATACCCTATGGATATAATTCCGATTGGCACTGCCTATCTACAAAATTGCTTTCAAGTCAGACGATTCGATTTAATTGCGTTTAAACAAGCCAAGTCCATCCATCCAAATTTCATAATTTATTTGTGGAACATACGATGAGAATAAAACACTATCGTTATTCTTGTGTTAAATGTTATACGAAATAAATGACAACCGGTTACTTAAAAGTTAAAATTCCGTAGCTAAAGTTATATAAAAGAGAACATAACACACGTAATTAATTACAAACTCAAAAATTATCTTTCCTTTTGACTATGCGGTTGTCTGGTAAAAATGGTTCTGACCTTGAAAAATACCTAACACTTCCTTGGTTTTCTTAAATGCAAGTGCATTCGGCAGGGTGCTAGAGTCGTGTGGGCTCGAGGCTGCCGGCATCTCGCCCACTTTTCCTTTCACGCTTACTGTATAGATTACGCGAGCATTCCAGTGCTTCCCAAACGTTTTGGGCCATACCATCAACTCACTGAATTGCTTAGTTTACTGACCCATAACCTACACCAAAGGTTACGGGTAACTCGCCCAGGTTTCAGTTATTACTATTATGTGACGGTCCAATGTAAGAGCTTTAGTTTTTTTTGTGAGATAAAAGTCAATTAGCAGCTTTTAACCTGAAGGTTCCATAACCAATGCCTTTCTGTGTGTCCGCGTATCATATTTCCATTTGATTTTTTGTATTAGTCCGGTGTCCAAAACCAGAATGACAAAATCGGACAGTTTAAGAAAGGTTGCTAACCTATCCATTCTCAATTGGCACTTCGCAGCCTTCAAAAAGTGAGTAGGAGGGTAGGTGATCTAATAACAATACCTAGGCAAATGTTTGTAGAGTCTCGTGTGTCCTATTTTCATCAATTTAACAAAGAAGTACTCATAACTATAGTTAAGCAAGACTAACAATTTTATGCAATTGAAGCAACATGACTTAATCGTAACTTACCAATTGTGATAAACCTAAATTAATTAACATTTCTATTATAATCGTGTAATACGTGCCTTAACGTTAGGGGACAAATGCCCGTGACACAAAATCGTCACCAGAAACCTTGTCTCCCGATCTTTACTTAATACTGCGATGCTACCAGACATGTAAAGCGAAATATGACGACATCGCAAGACTTTACTGGACGTCCCTGGCGACGACTCGTGTCGCTAGATATTTTACCCTAGTGTACGTACCCGCGACTTGACTTATTATAATACAATTGAAAGAAGTTCTAAAAAATAAATTACTCACTACGTAGGAAAATCACGACTACAAAAAAAAATCACACAACGCAAAACAAAAAATACTTATATTAATTTTGTTAGTGGAATTTTTTCCCGACCCATTGTTGTAACAGCGAATTCCGAAATATTGTTAAAATGTTAAGTAATTGTTTAGTAAAAGTAGATAATGATAGGTTCACATCGCAATAATAATGAGTGTTTAATGAATGTATCTGCAAAGATCGGGCGTGTTTCAATTTAGCTTTCAAGATATACCCCACGAACGAAAAGGTCACGTCGGTCTTATACTTTTAACTTTTATGTTTGGATTATAATATATAAATATTAAATGAATATGATGGACTCGAGCGGTAGATTTAAGGCGACAGGCTTATTTCGGGCGTTCAATATCTAAATAATGTTAAAAATATGTAAACGTGTACGGTGGCGTTGCTGTCTTTTTATACAAATGTGTTTTGGCAGATAGTGAAATGAAAAACCAGCCGCGCGTAGCGCATACTGTTACGCACTGTGCCGTGCCTTTGTGGTCAGTGGCGGTTACGCTCGCCAGTGAAGAATTTGGCCAAGACGGGATTTGCTATGGTGACCTGGTAACCAAGAGCAAGCCAGCGATTATGCAAATAATAAGGGTAAAAGATGCGTACAGATCTGGCGATTGCTGCGTCGTGCACGCGCTGGATTGCGCTGCATGCGCACTGCACGCGCGCTGCACGCGTCCTACATGCGTGCATCTAAATAAATACATGTCAATCTATACGAGTATAAAACGAACTATACTACGACTACGATATATCATATCCTTGCATCGAACACGAAGCAACTCTATTATCGAGCAGCCTTCGGATCTGCCGCAACGTTTCCTACATAGCAATTGCGGCAACAACGCAGCACATCATGTGTTGATGATGATAGTCAAATGTACAGTGTAGATACGTCAAGCTTGACACATTAGACTCTTTATAGTACCTATACACTAAATCTATGCTTTATAGTATTAAATTTAAATCTTAATTGTCAAAGGTGACGTGCTCTTGACCCTGTACCATTATATTTTATAGACTGTAATGTTTATACCTATTACAAAATATAAATATTTCGTGCGGATAGGTTTCCAAACTAGTGCGGTTTCGCCCACACATGCTCGTGCTATGACCGGTGGAGATTGCAACAAAATTATCAAATAGATACCTACCTAACACGAGCGCACGGCCGGGTAAACTAGTCGTCAAATCTAGCTATCTAAGCCGTCAGTTAAGAAGTACAGACTGGTATTGACAGCGCCGCTAAAGACTTTCGCGATAAAAACCCTGTTATAAAATTTTGATTCAAGAAAGAAGTTTCATTTTTATATACATATTGTCAAATGGGGACAGAATAACATATTTTTTACAGATTGCGGAATTGCAACAAATAGGCGAAAGGCGAATTAAATATCGCCCCGGCCAGCAGAAATTTACGCCAAGCCAGTCAATAGTTTTTGTATGTACCTATACCTTCTTCGACTTGTAGGGTCGTATTCTACAACTCTACTCAATGCTCAAGTCAGGATTGCACTGGAAACACAAACACTGGAAATACGACACTAATGGCAGGGACTTGAGTATGATTTCGAGTGCTTTAAACCAAATTCAAATCCTGACTTGAGCATTGAGTAGAGTTCTAGAATACGACTCTAAGGGCCGTATTCTAGAACTCTACTCAATGCTCAAGTCAGGATTTGAGTATAGTTAAAAGCACTCGAAATCATACTCAAGTACCTGCCATTAGGGTCGTATTTCCAGTGTTTGTGTTTCCATTGCAATCCTGACTTGAGCATGGAGTAGTGTTCTAGAATACGACCCTAAGATTCCTTAATTCCTTCAATTGCACTTATTCAATACTTACTTACCTTAACGCCTTCCATTCCACCATCGCACAGTGTCCACCGTCCGTAGGTTGTCATTTCCAAAAGATCTCACAAACACCACAAAACAGCTACGCAACTTACACGTGCCTGTATTGCCTAATATAAATGGAAGTATTTATAGCAAAAACGGTAAGTAAGGCAAGTCTCGTCGGGCTTAAGGCGTATGTAGTACTGCTATGTGACACTGCGTCGACAAATAAACTGTTTAGCTTGATTAGCAGAACGTGTGCAAATCAGTGGCCAACTGGGCTGCGCGCTCGTTCGCTCTCGCAGATTGGAATTATTGAAATTGATTGATACAGATACGGGGACAGGGACGCACTTTCATTAGATTTCATTGGTTTTTTAAGATCAAAGAGAACTGATATTGTTTTATGCTTACCAGTTACGAAATCTAAGAGTGTATCAGGAGATGGTTGAAAGTGTCACATTATAGAATGACGACACATTTTAATTGTGGAAAATTCTAGAAGAGGTGTGTCTAGCGTTTGTTATAAGGATGTTGTGATCTGTTAACTGGCAATTACTTCCTTTTTGCTACTACGACTGGAATTAATTCAATATTCCAGAATTAGAAGTCAAATAAAACATTCAGGTTACGCCATTTTATGCTAACTAGGTAAATCCTACCTAATAAGTTAGTAGGTAAATATTACAAATGACTTTACCTACTAAATACACGCCTGTGAACGTCCACTTGTTGACGTGATTGAGGAGAATGGATGAAATGGGCCTTGCAGGCTCGTTTGCTATTATTGATGATGATGATACTCATACACTTTGATATTATAGACAAGTTACAAAATCACAAAGCTACTATAGGTAGCTATAAAAGTAGAGCTAAATCATAATTGTTAGGTTTAACGGAATGGTAATGTAACTAACGGACCTATAACACATGAACGAAAATTAAACATACAAATTGAAATACCTTTTTATTAGTTTTATATGTGTGGTAATGTCTAGTATGGCTTATTAAATAAGGAGACCTAGGTTTATCGGTTACTACGCCGGGTCAACCTGAGATTACGCTCTATCTCGAACTGGCGATTATCCGTGCGCTCCAGGAAATCTTGGCGATCCAAGTAACTGAAAGAAGAAAAACTCCGTTACGTTTATTGCAGATTATTTATATAGTGTCTCATGCTAAATTATTGAGTGCCGTGGCCAATAAAATAGTAAATTAAATTACAAAATGAAACTACAATTTTACGAACTGCATATACTACGTAGGTACCCTAATATTCTTGACTTATTATTTCAAGTGGACGAAATTAATTTGTACATTACAGAAACTCTACCATGAATTCATCATGACATTAAATTATTTTTCATCACACTTGCTCGTAAACAGTGTCTTGATCATGAGTCATGACTCATGACCTATGTCCTATATTATCCCCATAACGCATATGTGAGACTTACCCAGTCTTGCCTTTATTATGGCTCTGTATCTCCTCTTCAATACCTTCCTCTTGCTTGTAGGTGGTCCAGTCAAGTTTGGATTTCTCCAAAGTGGATAATTTGTTCTTCCTGGTAAGTTGACCCAGCACACTCGACAGACCACCCGATTTGCGACTTTGTGATGGACCATCACTCACTAAAATAAGGAAGGTCAATTGTAAATAGTATAAAAAAAAGTATTTCAATTTTCACTTAAAAGAAAAACACAAAGATTGTAAAAACATTCATTGAATGAATGATCATTCATTCATTCATTCAAAGATTGTAAAAAAATAATTGATTCAATGTACTGTGCCATCACCGATGATGAACATCGATACTTTCCACAGTTGGGCATTGGGTCTTCCTCTAATGGCAGGGTTTACGCTGGTATATTACAAATGTCCCTATTACAAAAAAAATATAGCTATTCATATTAAAAATATAGCTATTACAAAAGTTGATTTAAATGATGTGTTCTTTTTCAAACACTTAAAAATATACATGCCACGCTGATTTCACACTAATCACGCGGCCGTCGACTGTCCAATAACAGTTAAATGTCGCCAATTTTACGACCGGCGCACATGTCTACTGAGGACTTTACAGTGTTTATAAAAACCATCTCCGAGATACAATTACCTATGTTGTCCTTTTCCATTAATTAGCACAACTACAAGTATGTAAGTAGCATAAAAAAATATGACATCTTACCTGCCACAGGACTTTCAGTTGCTTTAATTTTCTCCTTAATAACATTATTTTCGACTACTATTGTTTCTCCTGCAAACTCGAAAATTCTTCTCTCCCTCTCTTTTTCATCATCTTTTGTCTGATTTGTGTTCTTGGCAATATCATTGCTATGAACCGGTATAGGTTCATCCTTTTGAATCGAAGTTTCTTTAGGTTTAGGTTTAGTATCAGTCCCTTCTAGAAACTTCGCCCATAAATCATCTTCACGTTTTTTTTCCTCCTCAGCATCTAATACATGTTCTGGTACTTTTTCTTTCGCTTCCTTTTCAACTACAACATCAGGAACTCTATTTCTGATCTTCTTTTTATTCTTGCTTTTAGTTTCTTCAGTAGCTTTCCGCTTTCTTGTTTTATGTTCAAGTTCCTTTTCATATTGCTGTTCAGTTTCTTCGTCGGCAGATTCCTCTTCGGAAACCTGTTCTGGTTCACCAGGTACATATTCTTCGTCGCTTTCACTACCAGATGACATCTGAAAATTTTAAGATTTTTATTGAATTTAACTGGGCTTGAAATTCAATGCAAATTATTAAAAGTATAACAAAAATAATCATATTACCTTTTTTACTAATTGAACTATTTTTATGAAATGAAAAAGATAATATTATATAATAATAATTTATTGATTAAGAAAAAAGTATGAGGCACAACATTCTACTGCAGTTTCTTCTTGTTTCTGTTTCTGTTCTTAACATTAAACACTTCATAGAAGTTGCTTCCTGTTTTTGTTCGCCGCTGTGCTCTGTCAATAGCTCTTTTCTGTTTCGCAGTTAACTTCTTGGCAGGGGGAGCACTATCCTCAATACTAGCTTTACGTTTTTTGCCTTTATCATTTTTAATTTCTTCAACAGTGAATGCTCCACTAGCTGCTTCTAATTTCTTACGCTCTCGCATTTGTTCAACTGTTTCAGGGTCATTTGTCAAGTAATCCTCAACATCACTGCACTCATTCTCATCATTGCTGTAAAATTCACTTATGTCTGAAGAATCATCTTCATCTTCACCATTATTTTTCTCCTCATCCTGTGACTCTTTTTGCTCATCTATACCTTTAAGCTCATCTGGTATCTTCATGTCTTCTAATGGTTTTATATCTTCATCATTGTCATACTGCAATCCTACTCTTATTTTTGCAAAATCCTGAGCTATGGCCAGTTTATTCACAGTGATACCTGGTTTTTCAGTTACATTGCTTTCAGTTTCTGACTTTACAACTTCTTCAGATGATTGTTTTTCTGCTTTCTTCTCTTCCACTGGGGCATTAGTATATGGCTCATTTTCTTTCTGCTTAGAAAGTGGCACCTCAAAGCCTTCGGGAGCCACATAGAATGGCAGCTTTCCTCTCTGCCAGTCATTAAGGACCATCCTTGCAACTTGGTTTACATCAGGCTCACCTTTTTTGAGTAGCTTTCCAGTCCTTGCTGCCATCTTTTCTAAGAACTCTGTAGCTGTATCCCATCCATCCACCTTGTATGTTTTTATAAGATACTCCTTTCTGACCCTTTTAATGACTTCTTCTATATAATCTTCAGGATTTTGGACAAGCTCAACTCTGACTACACCTTTAAGCACTTTTTCTGTATCTGTTTCGGCAGAAGGATAGACAATTCCAGGACAATCAATCAAGAAAATCCTCCTCATTAAAGTGATATATTGCCAAACTTTAGTTTCGCCAGCAATAGGTGCGACCTTGCAAACTTTCTTTGACCTTAAAGTGTTGATGATGGAAGACTTTCCAGTATTTGGGTAACCAATCAGCCCAACACTGATTTGTTTTTTATCAATGTGCAGCTTTGCAAACTGTCTTAACAAATTGATTAGTGAGCCCTTACCAAATGGATGGGTTAATGAAGCATGGAATGCAACTGTAGGGTACTCAGCACTAAGAATGGCTACCCATCTCTGTGTTACCCAATTTGGGACCAAATCCACTTTATTTAAAATGAAAATCAAGTGTTTGTGTGGTTTTTCCTCTTTTAGATACTTCTCAACATAAGGACATCTAGTGCCCATTGGGTCCCTTGCATCCAAGACTTGCAGCAAAACGTCAGATGAGTCAACTACTTTATAAAGTTCATTCCATATTCTTTTACTCATCCCAGCCCCAAACACCCAATCTCTTTGTCCCAATTTAACACCTGAATCTTCACGGACCCTATCTACATCCTTGCTTTCATCATACTTTTCGCAACTCTGTTCTACAGCTTTAGACATTGTTTCTAAATTCTCAAACTTAAGGTTTACTCGCTTTCTCTGTTTTTTTGGACCAAAAGTTTTATCAAAACCTTCTGTATCTAGTATATGAACTCGAGAATTCTTAACCTTTTCATTCAGCAAAGAAATTGGCAAGTTAGTAGGTTTCATAACAACTTGGTAAGGGTTCTTTACAGCTGCACCAAATTCTTCTTGGAACTTTTGCAGTGCATTTTGAGAGATTACTCGAGAATTACCAAACCATTTTTGGCTAGGCTCGACGCGAGCTTGTGTACCAGAAGGTAACCAACCTTGGAAAGGTGCAGGGGTTAAAATTTTACCAGTTTTATCCCTTTTAGCTTTGAAGTTACGGTACATCTGCAACCTTTTGATCGTTCCTTTGGTTCTAGGTTTCCCCACACCTTTTAATCCTTCCGTGGAGCGATCGGGATTCATGGAATGCCCCGACTTGTTGAACCCTTCCTTCCGGGGCGCGCCCGGAGTCGAGCGAACTTTACCCATAGCTAATTGTATATCACTAACACCGTCTGCAGAAAATAACTACCGTTTTTATAGAATTAAATACAAACACGAGGATTAAAAAGGCTAGAGAAGTGAGGTTATCTCACTTGCTTGACAGCTGACATGCAATAACGTTTTTGAAGCTAAGTTCAGTCCGTTAGAAATTTATGTGTTTAGAAAACAATCTAGCGTAACACTGGTATATACTTACTCTAGTGATTATTCTCACTTCCTTTTAGTTCCTCCTTCCTTTTTTTCCTAATAGTTCTAAATAAAGCAATTATCTATTGCAACCTCGCACAATTGCACCATCTACTCAAACTCAAAGTTTCTCGTCAACTTCACAGCATTATATTGAATGATTGATTGAGTTCAAGTAGTGTCACTGTCAAAATTGTTTCAACTCATTCATATGCGTTCAGAATCAATCTGACACGAACCAGTGCTAGTGTCTGACACATCACATCACGCAATGCCTGACGGTAGACATGGGGAATAGCGTTACATTTCCATCGCCGTGACTGTCGTTCCTGTTCCAAAAATTTCACGGTGATAAATCACCGTGATTTTGTCACGACTGTTACTTCTGTGACCTTGTCACGCCTATGACTTACATCACGATAGACGGCTTTAGCCAGCAGCTTCTTTCTAATACTTATAGCCGTTTTTTATAGAATGATTTAAGTTTTTACTCCCTTTGTAATAAGTTTAAATTCCATTCAAAAAGTTGATTTTGTATTTAATGTAATTTTGTTTGTTACTTAATTAATGCGAATCTTTGGATTGTTAAAAATAGCAATAAAGTGTAATGAAATTATATTTCTAGTAGAATACACAAAGTAGATTATACATAAATATAAAATACTAACTCTTCCTATAATAAAAAAAATATATAAAAATATGCAAAAATATTTTACTTTGTTAATAAATAGGTTTATAGTAACTGCTGCAGAGATTTTTCATCCGCCCTTTCTAGTTGTAATAAGCACCTACGACCCTTATGAGCAAAGAAAGTCATCCTATCTCACTCACTCCCATCGCCGAAATGGCCTGATTTGAAGAGAACTACAACGAGTGACGCGCTCAGTCACCACGGAACGGAGATCGCGCATTGTATCAAATACGTATGTCGTGATGTGAGTGACGGGGATAGTTATTGGAACGGAGGAACACCTATGTGACTTTGGAACGTCGTTCCGACCGAGTCACGGTGCTACTGTTTGACAGCGGATCATCGTGTTTTTTTTCATCGTGACATTATTTATCACTCACCTCTACCTCACGGGAGGCCAAAGCGGGAAGCATTAATTATCCTGCATTGCAGTTCGCTTAGCCGTTCACTGCGTAACGCAGTAGCAGTAGAGCAGTAGAGCTTCTTGTGAAAGAGTTCGTCCAGGGTAATACTGCCACCTTACCTATTTCTGCCGCCAAGCAATAACGTCAGCATTACTGTGTTCCGGTTTTGAAGGGTAAGGGCTAGTAGTGAAATTACAAGCACATGGGACTTGTCAACTTACGTCTCAGGGTGGCGGGCACAGGGGCAGTGCCCCTCAGATCTTTGCCATTTAAAGCTCTGAGTGGCACTGTAATTGTCATGGACAGGCGTGTAGCTTACCATCAGGCGCACGACTTGTTTGTGCCGTCACTTGATGTTATAAAAAAAATGCAGAATTATGAATGTATCCCTTATTTTTTCCATCCTCTAAGATGTATACGCAGCGAGCAAGCCATCCTGCAATCCTTCAATGCGTCTTGCGAGACTCCAAACTTGGACCATATGTAGGGTAGTGTGTGAGCAGTCTCCTGCCTGCGCGGCGGACTGCCATGCCATGCAGGTAGTGAATGGGAATCATCCTCTAAGCTATCAACACAACGTTACAAGCTTTTTTTTAACATAAAAGTCTACGCGCTTAAACGTTCTTCTATACGATTTTGTAAGCTTCAAACCTTCTTCAAACAAAAAAGCCTAAGTGAAAACTTTGTGAAAAGCGTTTAAGAAATACACGGTTTTTTAAAAAAGCACAACGTTTTATAGTAAAAAAAAGCAGTTTTTCCCATTTCTTTCTACTCTATTGATATTATGGTGTCAATGTGTGTGTGATTCGCTCTGGGCATTTTGAAGGGAAAAGTGTCGTTTTTATTTTGACTTTCAATTATTTTGTGAAATCTTGTTTAAAGTGGAATAGGATAGTGCTATTGTGCCTTAATCGAAGATTA